TTCACATAATATCAAAGAAAGAGCTCTTTGATTCAACTGTTAATTTTTTTTATATATGAGTTGAAATAAACAAAAGACTTTAAGGACCATACATGATATATATATATATATATATATATATATATATATATATATATATATATGTTTATATTTTAATGGCATTTTTAATTTTCCCCATCATAGGACTAGGAACTACCCCTTAATTTAAAGGATCACTCTTGCGAGATAGATTAAATGTCAAAGTATCATAAACCTTATTAGATCACTTCTTCTAAATTAGGTTAGCATTATTTGACAGCTGACAGCCTACAATACATAATTATGGTCTAATATTTTTTCATATAAGCCCAATATTGGATTAAGCAATCGTTATGCTATGGACTCGTATCCAGCATGCATGCTGGACATGGTAACGGTGACGTTAGGTTTCGTTCTTTTTTACTTTTTTTTTTAAAGAAAAATTCAGACTACTTTATTATAGGAGTATATGTTCATAATTTTATCACTATATGTTCATAATTGTAAGTTCATAATGTCAGAGCTCTGTATTCATAATTGCATAACTGTACATTCATAATTGCATAGTTGTACATTCATAATTCTTTAACTGTACATTCATAATTGCATAGTTGTACATTCATAATTCTTTAACTGTACATTCATAATTCAATAACTGTAAATTCATAATTTTTGAAACTCTATGTTCACAATTTTAGAGCTTTATGTTCATAATTTTATCACTATATGTTCATAATTGTAATTCATAATGTCAGAGCTCTGTGTTCATAATTCCATAACTTACATTCATAATGCCACAAACGAATAACGTCGTTAACAGCAAGACAAAATGATTTTTTTTTAACTGAAAGACCGCATTTTTCCTTAAAATGACGTCGTTTTGGACTCGTGTCCACATCATAATTTGCCTGGATTAAGGATCCAACAAATTATATCGTTGACCGGATTGGTCCACCTTACACAAATAAGGACTGTTATGTCAAGGACCCATGTCCACCTTGCAAGGTGAACACGGATCCAATACGACGCCATTCTGTAATTCGGAAGTAACGGTGCCGTTAGTGGCACTGTTTTTCCTCCACCAATCAGATTTAAAAAAAAAAATTGTCAAAAGAATTCAGCGACATAAAAAATTGTGAATATATTGTTACGTATCTATGAATATAGAGTTCTGTAGTTGTGAATATAAAGTTTAAGAATTATGAATATAGAGTTCAAAAATTATGAAATAGAGTTTTATAATTATGAACATAGAGTTCTGTAATTGTGAATATAGAGTTCAATAATTGTGAATATGGAGTTCAAAAATTATGAACATAGAGTTCAGTAATTATGAACATAGACTTCTAGAGTTCTATAATTATGAACATAGAGTTCTGTAATTGTGAATATAGAGTTCAACAATTGTGAATATAGAGTTCAATAATTGTGAATATGGAGTTCAAAAATTATGAGTATAGAGTTCTATAACTATGAATATAGAGTTTAGTGATTATAAACATAGATTTCCTGAAGACAAACCCTGTTAACGGCGAAAGAAAGCAATTTTTTTTAATTGACACGACACCATTTTCCACTAAAACGACGCCGTTTTAGAACCGTGTCCACATCATAATTTGCCCACAAATAATGTAGTTTTTATTTATGGTTCACACAGTTGTGTGGACCACAATAATAATTGTCTAAGGCAATCCACATATATTGATATTGCACATTTTCTAAGAAAAAAAGAGCAATGTTGGCGGAGAGAGAGGGTTGAGATTCCTCTTCAAGAGAGGAGATTATGGCAGAAAAGTGAGTCCAGTCACGTGCGCCCAGGGGGCGCCTGATAGTGATTTTTTTTTTTTTTAAATCAGTTTTGTTTTAATTTTTTTTTTCTCCCTCCCATATTCTCTTTCCTAATCACACTTACAAAAATTTCTCAAACTCACAAAATACCTCCACTATTATTGATGCTTTAATGAGTTGTTGAATCACCGTGATTTATCAATCTATTATTCGATTGAACAGAGGTATGAAGACCCTAGAGGCGAGCAAATTTTGGCCTTGTTTGGTAAAATGGCTGTTAGCTGATTGTGTTAATTAGAGGGTATAAATAATTGATAACATTAGCTGATTGTAGAAAAGTGTTTGGTAAATTAGCTGTTAGCTGATAGTTGTTTGGTATAATTTCTTTTCTCAAAAAGCTAATTGAAAAGGTTGCTTGGAGTAGCTTTTTGAATTTTAGCCTTTTAGAGTTGCAAAAAACTAATTAACCAAACATTTGTATTGATATTTTAACTAAATCAAACAATTAATAGTGGTCAAATAAGTCAAAATTGGCCTATAAGCCAATTTTTTTACCAAACAGGGCCTTTGTCTTTTGTGTGGGTAACTTAATCTCTTAATGATCTGGAATCAGTTACAAACATAAACCGACCACTTATACTGCAGACACAATAAGACTAGGTTGTCAGAGACATTTGAACAACGTAACAACGCCGTACAGGCCAGCAGCAGAGCAAATGAGAGATGACACAAACTGACACTCCAATCCAATAATACAAGAAATATGATGGATATATACAATCATCACCATCACCATACCCTATACGATTCAAACACTTCAATTCTGAATTCCCCAATATAATAAATGCAATTCTCTCTCACCCTGAGTTAAAATTATTCTCAAAAAGTTGAATCCCTAATTCTAAAGATTTTCTACGCTCCGACTCCACAGACCTTTGCTTACTGCATCCCGGGTTATTGATCTAAAACTCCGTCCATGTGACCAACAGAACTGTCCATGCGAACATGCAGTGAGTTAAAGTTATTCTCAAAAAGTTGAATCCTCAATCCCAAGGACTTTTCACACCCCGATCCCATAGACCCCTTTGCTTACTGTGTACAAGGAGCCCCTCACTTTGAGTGACTGCTCTCACACATACTGTCACTGGTGAGACTCGATTCCGAATCATTGATTCAAAACTGTGACCAACTGAGTTGTCCATTCGAACATGCACTGAGTTGAAGTTGAAGCAGCAACTAGCCGACACAGTAATTATTGATTTGCCATCATAAATAAATACAGGCCGGCCGGCAAACCCCTTCATGCATGCTTTAATTTGCTTATTCCAATTCCTATTCTTGCCATCCCTATCACCACAAACTATAAAGTTGGACTTACACCCAAACTGAATGGATTCATTTGCTTTTTTTTTTTTTTTCCCTTTCCCTTTCCCTATCCCTATCCCTATCCCTATCCCTATCCCTACAAACTAAACTTAAATCCCAAGCAATTGGGAATGGTAGACCCATGTGAATATCTAATCTTTAATTTAATTTGGATTTTCTATTTTCCAATGCCCCCTACTATACGTTTCTTCAATCATAAATATATATATATAATATAAAATATTCCTCTTTTGTTGTTTTTCTTAATTTCGAAGAATTTAATGGGAAGAGTATAGGCTATAGAGGTGGCTGCAGTGATCCGTTGAATTAGGAATCACAATTATGATTTTACTCCGATCCAAACTATTTTTTAGGTATCAATTATTTAAGGTGTCATGCGTGCATGTATATGACTACCACACTAAAATTGATCTGATGAATTTTGATTGATGATTTTCATTTTTTCTTTCATTTATTTTTCTCTTTTGCATTGGTTTTTTAACAACATCATTGTTAATAAGATACAAATAATTAAATCTAGAATTTTATGTAGATGAGCTTAAATTTGATGCAACCACTAAATTCGATGACAAATTAATTATTAGTCGAGTATTACATTCACAATACTCAATTCACTGATGTGGTTCTGATGCGAACTAACCAAGGTCTTAACTACATTATGAAAGTTAACTCATGAGTATAAATTTGACCAAGTCTTAAATTTTGGCTCGAACTTTCATTAGTTGCATGTGGGACGCATCACTAAGGTAGTGTCAAATTGGATTGTGACAAATACAACTAATATTCATTCGCGTTCAAATGAATATTATAGGCGAGTACCCTACACATTGTCTTTTATAATATCTAGCTCTAAGTGCAAGTATGTTATATTGAGATACGTAGATGAAAATAGAGTAATAGGTGATGATGGGTAAAGTAAGCAAAAGAATATATATATATATATATATATATATATATATATATATATATATATAATGTACGGGTGGTGGTCGATTTATAGATAGTAATGATGAGAAAATAAGTAGATATGAATTAGTAGAGTAGTATTTGGGAGAAGAGAAAATAAGTAGATATGAATAATGGTGAGATAGATAGACGGTGGTAAGAGTATATAGATAACTAGATAAACAAATAGATAGACGGTAGGAGTAGATAAATAAATGAAGTTGAAGTTTATAAATAATGATAATGATGATTATTGTAGATGAAATTATGTTGTTTTTGTATTGGAAAATAAGGAAAAAGTTTTTTTTTAATCATTTGTTAAGTTGGAAAAATAAAATAAAATAATATAAATATAAAATAATAATTAAAATATTTTTTGTTTTTCATTTTTCTAAAAAATGGTTTACCCAACCCTTAAGGACCTACATGTCACAAGCTAGCCTATATACAACTTGGGCCAGGTTGGCCCCATTTTTAAACAGGCCATATTTATCAAAACCTAACTTGTTCCTGGCAAATTATTATGTGAACTCAGGTCCACCTTGCAAGATGAATTCAGATCTAAAGATACACAATTTAACAATTTACATATTAAATATTCACAATTTGTAATATACATGTATTATATTCACAAATTCTCAAAACTTAAAAACACAACTTATATTCTAGATATTTACAATTTCAATACTAAAAATACACAATTTAAGACGAAGATATGAAATCTATTTCAAATATGTAAGTTGCAGTTTAAAAAGGGAATTCCAACCACACTTCATAACTCTCATACTTATCCTCTAACTTGCCTTTTCAATCATTAACCCATCTGTAAATAGAAAGTTGCATACACGGCAATACATTTATACATGAAAGAATAAAAAGAAATATTTTATTTTCTGTCCACAAAAAGAATAAAATTATCTTAACATAAAAATCTTTAGATAGTCAGATATGACATCTAAAAACAAGTCTACACTTTTTTTTACATTCCACCAATCTAACAAAGCCTTTCAAGGAGAAAATCTGCACTTCCCTATAGTATCTAATGAAGAAGAAGGGTCACAGATTACAACTACTGCTACATATTGTACATCAAACTCTCACTGCCACAACAACCTGCTCCCTTCTGTTCATGGGAAATAAAAGCTCACAGTTACCGAGCCATCTAGTTTTTCGGTTTCCATTATAATTTTTTATTAAAACAAGTCAAGAATACAATAAAACTACCTAAATTGGTGTACCTGATACAGAGGGCAGTCACAAAAATACATTTCACCGCCCATTAACAAGAAACATCACGGAATAGGCCTTTAGCTTCATCAAAAATCCATCTGCAGGTAACAGTTGAACAACAGGGGGGAAAAGTGTAAATTCACAGCACTCATCAGATGCTGAAAAGACAATTAACAATGACATGAAAAAGGTTGAATCATCTTTTAAATTTGGACCTAGCTTCCATCCTCGTCTTTAAATTTGGACTTAGCTTCCAATCTAACAAAAATCTTAAGCACAAAGTATATCCTATTTAAGGTACTTCTAGACTATAAGAGAACATTATGATACTGGTGCTTCATATCTCAATATCAATGTAACAGTACCTAATATTTGAAAAGTGTCTCAACTATTAAACATCATTAACTCAATTGTATATTCTTAGCCGCATACATCCAAGAAATCTGCTTAAGGGAAGTTTTGTATAAGCCTAGAATCATACAATGGTAAAGGAAAAGGCAAACACCAATTTTACTTTGGAAACTGGTATTGAAGCTGAAAATGAGGGGGCTTAATCATGCCAAATGACACTGCTGTGGACCCCATCCACATTACAGTGCAAGTGCTAGTGAATCCAACCCCTCTTTTTTAGCCTGTTTATCACTTGTCCTTTTCTTTTATCATGCACTTCCTTTATATGTGAAACTCAGCAACAAAAGCAATGCACAAAAGACACAGTAGGACATACTTGCATAGGTAAAGTGGCCGTAAATCATTTTTCTCTGTTACTGCACAAGTTCTCCTTTCTCTTTCTTCAGTGAACTTGCTTGGAGGAAGAACTTCACATGGACCTTCAATAAGGCCAGCCATTACAGCACTCCCAAAATTAGACAAATAGACCTACAGGCAATACACATTAAGCATAAACTGTCAATTTATTCTTACAGACAAATTTTGCAACAGATACCAGCTACCAATGGCAACAAGACAAAAAAGCATTCAAACCCAAACCATATTGTCAAATCTGATAAACTTTTCAAACAGTTCAAGAATCAAATTAGATCACCAGCGAACAGCGTTGAGGCCTCCGAAATGAACATGTAACAAGATGAAGGTCTCAAACTCTGAAATAATTTTCCCTAGCCTAATCTACCTGAAGTGAAAATACCCAACTGGGAAACATATATAATACTAACGTGTTGAGCAAAGTTGACAATAGATGCACAACTAAAGCCAAAGTAAGATGAGGTTGAGTAAATTGGAATGTCATTTACTGATTTAACAAACCTCCAGTAACATCCATTTCCATTGAGTAACTCTCAAGCACAATAAAAATTAGGGTGGTGACCTCCCACTTTTATTTCCTTCTTATTAAAATATTAAAATAGTATTTCAAAATGTGACATCCAAATAATAATAAAAAAATCAGATATATCACATCTAAGAAATGAATGGAAATATATTAACAGTTTTTATTATTGCTTTGCCCATTGAATAATTGATGGCTGGTCAAATCTTTTAAGAAAGTTAATGATGCATCTTGTAATTCAAAAATTAAATCTGAATTTTTATTCATTTTCAAAATAATACTCCCTCCGTCCCAAATTGGTTGTGACATTTGCTTTTTGCACGCTTTTTAAGAAACTAAAATAAATGCTATGTATTTTTCAATTATGCCCTCACTTTTCTCACTTTTGGAAATAAAAGCAACAAAGAATGCAAACTCATAAGGGTAAATTGGGAAAAGTAGAATGATGGTGATGTTCAATTTTGGAAAGAGGACAACATTTTGGGACAAACTAAAAAGAAAAGTAAGACAAGTAAAATGGGACAGGAGGAGTATATAAGTTGCACAATGTTGTAAAAGGTGCCCATTAGAACCTAGGAGCCACGTAGGTACATAGGTAATATATGTATATATGTCTATATAGAATCAAGTCCAAATGAAACTAGTAGCCCCGTGAAAACTTATGGACTAATATCATCCGTCCATCTAGGATGATCAAGGGCTGGAAATTAAGGGAAAAATGAAGTGATATTTCCATAATTACAACGGTGCATTTGGAAACTCTTGATAGCACATCCACCAATAACTTATAGTGCACACACATGAGTGCACTGTCAATTATACGCAGATGCACTATCAAGTGTTTTCAAATACACCGTCATAATTATGGAAATAGCACCGTGTTTTTTCCTACATTTCTAGCCCTTGATCATTCTAAATAAATAGATTAAATTAGTATGCACGTTGTCACATGATCTTGGCCCTATATATATATAAAGAGAGAGTGAGAGGAGGGGGGGGGGGGGGGGGGGGGGGTAACACTTTTGGCCTTGAATTAGTTCAATTTTGAAAATTTGGTCCCTATTTGTTAATTTAAACAAATTTAGTCCTTCAATCGTCCACTATGTTGCACTTTCAATCCCTAGAGTTATATAATTACCAAACCATGTAGCAAACTCTTTTTATGAAATTATTTTTGTAATTTAAAATCAATATCAATGTTTAAAGTCTCATTCTCTCCTTGTGAACACCATTGTTAATGGATAGTGATTCTAAATGACAAAAATAACCTCATATGTTAATGAATTTTGACACAATTACATAACACCAAGGACTAAAAGTGTAACATTATAGACAATTAAGAAACTAAATTTGTTTAAACTAATTGATTGGGACCAATTTTCCAAAAGTGGAGCAATTCAGGAACCAAAAATGCCATTTTCTCTATATGCCAAAAGCATGTTAGAAAACCAAAGGTCAACTGTCCAAAGCAAAAAATACGCAAAAGCCATTGATAATGTCATACTCTCAGTTTGTTGAAGAAGTCAAAAGAGAGCCAAAAGGGAAAGCCTCACACTGCTCAATCCAATGATGGTGAGCAACGAAGGCAAGCGACAAGTCCAAACTCCAAAGCAATGGCGGACGGAAATTGCAAATAGAGTGGGTAATGGATCATTTGTCATTGCAAGCTTGAACACGGTTGAAGACTCAGTGGAACTACAACAACCATTGCAAACTAAAAGGGTTTTTCAGTTTTTCTTAATTGATTTTTGGATGTCTGCTCTTCGTTTTTTGGCTACTTCCCCAATATAGGGTTATTTCGCTCAAAACGACATCGTTTTGAGCGAAACCCTCAATAAAAAAAAATAATAATAATAAACGCCCAAGTAAGCCTTTATCCAACTAGCCAGAAGTGAAGTTCCAATTAAGTCCATAATCGACTTGGCCTAGGGGCAACTAGCACCTAAGCGGCCGCCTAGGCCGAGTTTTACAACACTGATGTTGCATAGTCTAAGCGCACCCGTAAAGGTAATAAAATTTATTTATGACTTACATTTGTATACAATTTTTAAAATACCATTTTAAGAGAGATGTTTGGATTGTTTCTTCTCAACTAGAAATATAGAGCGAAACTCATCTTCCATGTGGAATTCAAAGTAAAATTGGTTACAAACTTCTAGCAAACAGAACAACCTTTGTCGATCCCACTCACACCAGCAAACGCGACATTTGCGTTACTTACGAAAAGGGTTAGAATCAGTGGCATACCTCGCTGCTCTCCAGACTACATGGGCGGCCAACAGATGCTGGCAAGTCTCTGGCAAAGTAACACCGATTGACAGTAACCCATTTCATTCCAGTTTTGGCATCTTCCCACATAGTCTGCAGAAGTGCAGATATAAAAAAAGACTGGCTTATCAAGGTATTAAAAATATTACATCAGTTTAGAGCAAGATGCAGCTAGCAAATACTTGGGGCACTACACAGGAAAAAAAAAAAACAAAAAAAACAAAACACACACACACATTTCTTTCTTCATACATAAGCAATTAAAAAAAATGCAAAATGGGAAATACATCACAAAGATTGAGTGCTAGAAATCCTAAAATTTATTTTGATTCTACCCAAACAGATTGCTAGGACTTGAGGATAAACAATTACATGTAGATAAGGTAGTCTGGAATCAATGATGCTCCAGACATAATTTAAGCACGGTTCATGACATACAATGAATGTCTACAAATAGAAACCAGTAAATGATAAGATTTTCAAACACAATTAGATTATTGCTTGTCCAAAATTAATTGGCTGTGGTACTCAAAATGCCTAACTGGTCACTCACCTGAAGCTTTGAAGGAATCAATCTGTCATTTCCAAAACGAATAAGAGCATAGTCTTCAAGATTATAGACATAGCCATTAATGCGGCATGCATCATAAAATAATTTATCATCTCCAACTGAATGTTTGCTGCCAACCCAATCAACAATATGTAACCGATCTGATAAAGAACTACTGCACTTTGTGTTCCTATTATAGGTTGTAGAGTCATTAGCAGTATTTACTTCTCCAGCCCCTTGCTCTCCTCTTTTAGCAACATCATTGGAACTGGTGGCTCTACCACAAGATTCCTTCAAATCAACAACCTCAAGGTTATTTCCAGGAGACTGCTTAGATGAAATCTCTATACTATTTGATAGCCGTATATGATCTATACTTGAGCAGTCCACAGAAGGATGTGAATGATCAGATGAATTGAGCGTTGACTCAATTTTAGCAGGAGGCTGCTGTTTCAATTCAAATGCTTCCCCTTGGCAAGGTTTATCAACTGATGAGCCAACAGGAGAAACACTACTATCACCAGAAGCTTTCATCAAACTGTTTGGACAGGATTCAGAAGAAACTTTACTATCAGCACTTCTACTTGACATTGTGTCATTCCCTTGCATGTCTTTGGAATTTTCAACCTTTGGAAAAGATGCAGGGTTAACTCTATTTGCTATACCAACAGTTGGAGGATTTTGTAATGCAACATTCCCATTCACTATCACTTTCTGAGAAACTTTTTTGTCAAGAGATGGCTGAACCATTGGTGCAGTCGAAGAGACTTTTGATGCATTGATGTTTCTCATGACACGACCATATTTAGGGGGTATTGGTTTACCATTTGTTAGTGACAAGCACCTTCCACAATGCCACTCTCCCCTAGGAACACCCTTCTGATTATTTATTTGGAGACATTTCAAGTGATACCCCTTTTCACAAGCATCACAGACAAGAACATTTTCCACCTCAGTTACTGTAAACTTGCACATTTGACAAGTCAGTGCCTTACTCATATAATCTCTAGATGGCGGAGTCCATACAGGTCGATCAGGAAGCTGGGGCTGTAAGAACCTCTGAACAATCTTACCAACTTCAGCATGAGTGTTACTTGGAGGAGCTGGGACAAAGTTTATCCCATGTATTTGCTGGTGTACGGTTGTCAAGTTTCCAGAAGAAGTCTGATTAATAAAAGGTCTAGATGTTGTTACTTGGTGGGCCATCCCTGACTTATATTCAGGACCTCCCTCAACTTTGGTAGTTGAATGTGCTGGCACCCCATTTTCAGGTCCCACCTTGGCTGCTGAATGTGATGGTGGTGTCATAGACCAATTAGGTGGCCTCAGGGTCGAGTGATCCCCAGATGAAGCTGTAATAAATTGATAATTAACACCAACTTAAAATTGCAGTCAGAAACAGAATTTACAAGAAGGTCACAGATATGTGGCCTTCCCAAGTCCCGCAAAAGCGGAACCTTGTGAATATATTAAAAATAAAACTTGGAATGAGAATATTATCTGATGCATATACATTATTAATGAAACAATAATATTGGGATGGATTTACTTATCACACTGCATCCTCCGCCCACCCAACACATTTTATGTTACTTCTTAATTAAGTGGCCAGAAAGAGAGAACAAACCTACTTGTAATATCTAGACAATTCAACTTCTATCTCTATCCTAAACGTATCTTCTGTATTATTCAAACAACTAATAACCATAATGTACTCTAAAACTTGCAAACAAATGTTACCTTGAATATGAGAAGCACCATTTGACCTCCCATCAGGTCTGAAATGTGGTCTTTCAACACGTGGCAATGCCACTGGAGAATTGTCTTTACCAAGATTACCAGTGGTTAACCCAGCGTGAGTAACTGGCCTGATCTCACTTGTAGGTAATTGATAAGGTAAAGATCCAGAGTTTGCAGTAGATCCATGACCCAAAGTTGAAGCTGACTGAAAATTTCCAGAGGAAATTGGTGCTTGGCCAGGTTTATCAGCATGAAACATTCGAGCAGCATGTGGAGGAGCACGATTCTCAACTGTTGTACCTGAATTTGATTGCAAGCGTTGGGATGAATAGGGAGCAGACTGTAGGGTAAAGTCCTCCGGTTTTTCCATCTGAAATCAGAAGGAAAAAAGTAAAGTGTGAACTATTATTCGGTGTGCATAAGCCACAATTGGATAAGTAGAGCTTTTTAGTGCCAGGTGAGAAGCAAGAAAAAAATAATGGAACACAATTGAATGGTACCAGAATTCAATTAGCATTTAGTTTTATAGAATACACAGCCCAGTAATGAGTCCTTAAAAATTCAAACTTATTACAATCAGGGTAAAAAAAAACATTAAGCTAACTCTAAGCTTAGTTTTCCATTGTATTTATTTGAGCCTTTACGGTATGATAATCTTGTTATACTTTTTACTTAAATAAGTCGGACACCACTAAATGTAACCTGTAACATTAGAGATGCATCTTGGCATCCATTCAAGAAGTCAAATAGTTACTCGTAGTAGTGATCCATATACTAGTATGAAACTTTTAAGGGGTGAGTGTAGATTGAAGATTTCAGTTGATTGAGCTGAGCTGACATGAGCTAATTACTATCCATATCATATTGCATGTCAACAATGAACAACCTCCTCCTTAGCTATTGGTTTCAAAACACAAATGTACTGTACAAAGAAAACGCAATTAACAAAATAATGTTCTCCAGTCCAAGAAGAAAAACCAAACCTTTCTTTTGGAAAGCAACATCTTCTCAGCAATAGACGTCTTAGGGGGACGAAACCCTAACCTCTGCTCCTTGAGCTTATTGAGCCCAAGGTCCTCGATTACACCTCCAAACGCGTCCCTCGGAAACACATCCTTGGGAGCAAACACTTGACACACCTCAGCCAATTTATCCCTAGCCTCCGCCATCATCTCCTTCTCCGCATCAGTAGGGCTCCTCCCACCCCGCATCTTCCCCATCGCCGCCAGCACGAGCACCAACTCCGCCACCTTCTTCACATTCCCACCCACCAATCCCTTCACCTTCTTCCCAGCAGGCTGCCCCTCAAGCTCCACATCATCCGGCAGCCTCTTCTCCCCGGATCTCACCTCTTCCATCCCGGAAAAAAACCCTAGCCGATCCGTGCGCGCAAACGACGCCGTTCGAGGCGAAACCAATGGCTCCCGAAGCAAGACCTGCACAGAAGAGAGAGACGTGAAGCCATGGAGAGGTGAAACCCTAGGAAAGCAGGGGAGAGAAGGGGATATGGGGAAGAGAGCGGGGAGAGAGCGGTGATATTTTGGGAGAAAAAATTTGAAAAAAATGGGAATGGGGAATTGGGAGAGTTAAAAATTATACCTTTTGGCGGGTAATTGAGGGAGAAAGAGGTCTTGTGGGTGTAATTTGGGAGACTAATTGTGGCGTGACAGTATGTATGTATGTATCCCCCGCGAGATAGATAGATAGATGGAGCCTTCCAGCAAGCACAGCGTAGAGAGAGAGAAAGAGAAAGAAAGAGAGACCGAAGAGAGATTTTTTTAAATAAATAAAAAGAATTTTTTCCGTGATAAATAGACCGCGCTGTCCCTTCTCATCACCGTGCTACTAGCTTCTTCATTTTACGCGTATGCCCTGGAAATTAGGGTGAGCAATGATTCAATTCTACTTTCCTAACTAAATTAATTGAAATTTAATGTATCAAAAATAAAAGAAATAAGGGTCAAATAGGTTATCTAATTACACACAAAATTACAATTAAGTTACTAAATTTTTTTTAAAAAAATTATAATTAAGTTTTGAAATAAGGTTCAAATTGACCACTGAACGTAACCTGAAAATGCAATTAGGCCACTGAACGAACAAAAAGTGCAATTAGGTCACTGAACACTCCAAAAACATGCAATTAGGCCACTGAACTCTCCAAACGTATGCAATTTCACCGGATAACAGGTTACCATCAATTTTAGCAGGTTACCTGCTTACGTGGCAGCTGAGTTGGCATTTTTAATAATTTTTAAATAATTTTTAATAATTAATTTTAATAATAAATTTTATAAAAAATTGAAAAAAAATTAAATAAAAAATTAAATAAAGTCGTTTTTATTTTTTAAAAATTTTTTTAAATAAAAATTTATTATTAAAATTTATTAAAAATGATTTAAAATTTATTAAAAATGCCAACTCAGCTGCCACGTAAGCAGATAACCTGCTAAAATTGAGGGTAACCTGCTATCAGGTGAAATTGCACATTTTTGGAGTGTTCAGTGGCCTAATTGCACTTTTTTTTCGTTCAGTGGCCTAATTGCATTTTCAGGTTACGTTCAGTGGCCAATTTGAACCTTATTCCTTAAGTTTTTAAACATGCAAATTCATTCAATTTAACCAATAGTGACTTGTTTACATATTCATGTGCTAACGTGTCGGTTCCTTTATTTAAAACTAATTTTAAAATTTTTATTTAATTAATTTTAAATTATTTATTAAAAAAAGGGTCAATAGACGCCATGGCCGGTTGGGCGGAGACGAAAGGTCCCCTTCTTCTCTGGTAAGCTATAGGAACTATTTTTAATAAATAAATAAGTATTTCATTTAAAATTATTTAAATAAATTTTTAAAAATTATTTTAAAATAAAGTAACCAACACATCAGCACATTAACAGGTAAATAAGTCATTTTAGGTTAAAATGTTCGAATTTGCGTTGTTCAGTGACCCAATTGTATTTTTGTGTGTAGTTTGATATGCTATTTGACCCTTATCCCAAAAGAAAAATAGTTTAGTTTATATTCTAATAGAATTATTCTCATTTTGCAATTTTACCCGCTTTGAACTTTCATTGAAAACTAAATGAGATGTTTGCAATATGGTTAGTTCTTTTATCTTTAATTGAGTTGCTAGAGTGCGAATGATGATTAATTTAAGTATAGTATGGACTTAAATATGTTTTCTTTTTATACTTAGAGTATACTCATGACACCTATCATGCTTGCATCCAAATTTTTATTTACAAGTTGTTTAAATTTAAATTTAATTATTTTCTTATATAGTATACAAATATTAGGATTGATAAGACAATGATATATGTTACGAATCACATGCGGAACTTTCTTTAGGTAAAAAAATATGGTTTGATTTTATAAATTGATCCTGCCCAAAATGAAGACAGTAAAAAAAAAAAAAAAAATGTGGTATTATCATAAATTTGTGTAAGTTAGTTAAGATGTTCTTTGTCTTCGAGTGCACATTTTCCTTATTCTAGTGTATATTTCTCATTGTTTGAGTGCATATATGTTGTCTCGATATATAGTTTCTCCTTTGGAGTACACATCTTATTGCATTTAAGTGCATGACTTTGGCCTTCAAATACACATTTCCCTGCGTTCAAGTGCGCACTTTTATGCACTCAAGTGCATATTTATGGGTCAATTTGATTATATGTTTTGCCTTCTTTTCAATCATGTATATGTAACTTTCTAATTAAATTTGTAAGATTTACAAACGATTTGTAAAAGGAATTTGCTTCTCAACAACACTTAAGTTGAATAACTTCAATTTTTGTTACCATAAATTGCTTTAATTGCACATCGGTGTGCCTTTAAGTGCATAATTTTGGACTTCAAAGTGCATGTTTTTTGTGTTTTCAAGCACACCTTTAATGTATATTCGAAGTGTACTTTTTTTAAGCGAAGTAGATTGGATGAAATTAATGTATGAGATTGTTGCACATTTTTAACCTTACAACTCCTTCGCACCTGCACCTGATCCAAAATATATATACACAGACACATGTGGGCCAATTTCACATTGCACAGTGGACTATAGTTCGAAACGACTTTATTAGTTTGGCATTGCAAATTTGATCCATAATGTTTTGTTAGGAAAAAATGAAGAAATTTACAACATTAATTGTAGCTTAAGGACGAAAAGTAAGCACGTCTAATAAGTATATATAGACGAATCATGTAATTACTTTATAAATTATAAACGAAAAGTATACTTTTTTATGAAATCAATGTACTAAACATGTAGATATGACATCTAATACGTGGTCTTGGAGCATAAGTCAAGTGTAAGTTGTAACAAATGATATTGAGCTTAATGATAAATGCAATTGCATATTTTCTCTTATAGTGATCTCAACCAATAATTTTGATCCAAATAACATAAAAATTATCGAATAATTCCAAGAGATTCATCATGTTAAGGACCTAAAGACTCTCAAAATAAAAATAACCAACCTAATTAAACTCAAACCAACGACTTTCTAGTCTAGTGGCACAAAGTTACACTCCCATAAAATTAAGAAAGTAGTTATATACCAGGACTATGTGGTCCAATGGTATCCGGGTTGGACTTCCATTTAGAAGATTATAAGTTCGAGCCTCAGTGGAGGCGTTATTGGTTCTTTGTGTTTCAGTAGGTTGAGAAAGTATATGAACAGATACTACAATGTAATAGAGCTAGTAACTTTCAAAAAAAAAAAAAAAGAAAGTAGACAATGTGAAAATTATGTCCAAAGTGTTCAAAAAAAAGAAAGTAGACAATGTGAAAATTATGTCCAAAGTGGGCAGATTCTTGGAAATTATTATGTCCAAAATGGGCAAATTATTATTCCTGAAAATTATGTCCAAAGTGGACGAAATTATTTATATCTAAAGTGGACAGAAGTGGAAATTATGTCCAAAATGGGCACCGGCATTCACCATGATTTACATCCGTCTTTAGTAAGAGTATTTCTCAAAAACAAAATTTACCCAAACTCAAATGACTATAAATGTCAAAATTTATTAGATGAAACTGAGTAAGTCATATAAAATAACTCAAAGTCTCAAACACTTACAGGGCGTTTGGTTGGAGGGATTTTAAATTACCTTCCCACCTAATTCCAAAGGCCATTAAATTCCGTAGTTTGGTTGGAGGGAATTGCAATTCCCCCATTTTCATGGAATTAAAATCCCATGTCCCCCCCTGGTATTTTAATTCCTGGGAAAAAAAGATAGTGATGAGTCAAAATTATCCCTTCCTTTTTTAACCTAAAATTAATGTCTAACAACAATAATGGACATTTTTGACTTTATACTACTTATTCCCTTTCAATTCCCATGTATACCAAACATTGGAATTGAAATTCCCAGTAATTCTATTCCTGTCAACCAAACACTGAAATTTAAATTCCCACTTTATTCCCAGTAATTCAACTTCCATGGTATTACAATTCCTTTCCCACATAATTTCCGCCCTCCAACCAAACGCCCTGTTATGAGAATATGAGATATATATGACGGATATATATATTTTTATTTTTAATTCCGGAATCCGAATAAATAATACGCCTTAGCGGTCCAAACTCAAAAGGCTCTTTCCCAATCTCAATCCGAATGCGCGTCACGAAGACGACGCCGAAGCCCGACAAAACTTGCCGGTAAGTGGTGGCGTCTCCTCCTGTCGCCTCTTTCCGATTCTCCTCCGCTTGTCAAAACTCAATCATACCCACCCGATTATCACATCTTTCTAATTGAGTTTCGTTTCCGCCCCCTATTCCCATCCAAAAGGTAAGATTCTATTCCTCTCTCATTCAACCTAGCTGATTAACCCGGGTTTTAGGATATTCGCGTGTTGTACTGAAAATGCAAAATTGAACTGTTCTTCAAATTTTGATCTTCAATTTTGATCGCGCTCTATGTTAATTGGGTTGAATTGATGTACGGTGGTCTGAGTTGGTTTTCGGGTTTTTTGGACCGATTACTGAGGTTTAGTGATTTCTTACGGATTGAATTGATGTAGAATTGCGGATCGGAATTGCGTGATCATAATAACGATCACGCAATGCTCTTGGCCGTTTTCTAGTTGCACTTTTTTCCCAATTTTGTTAAGCTTTAGCTCTCTATGCTATAATTTGTGATGAATTTCATGTAATTTTCTTGAGGGAATCTATCGAAACGTAATATGGTATGTGCGTCCTTTTAGCCGAGCTGTTGTTTGCTATTCTTGATGTATATGTCAGTTCACACCACCTAGACTGCTGGTTTATGGTAGGACTAGCTGAAGGTGCACATAAGCGAAGCTAAAGACTTTCTTTTACTACTTTTGAATCATAGTGTTGGGGTTAAAAGGTAACCAATGGTTTTGTTTTGATTATTTGTCATTTATTCTTGATCTTAAGGCAATGGCAGCTTCTGGAGATTCATGGGTCAGGGAGTATAATGAAGCAGTAAAGCTTGCAGATGATATCACTAACATGATATCTGAAAGAAGTTCGTTGCCCACAACAGGGACAGAGGCACAGCGTCATTCATCTGCTATAAGGAGGAAAATTACTATATTGGGAACTAGGCTTGATAGCTTAGAGTCTCTTTTGTCCAAACTTCCTACAAAGCAACCTTTGTAAGTCTTTTTGGTTGAAAGCAGCCTCTACTCATGTCTCTCCTAATCTTCCGAGTGGGAATTTGTATATGTCAATTATCTTGTTTTTTGTGTACATGCATTATATTTTAGCCTAAGGCAGCTTAGCTCAGGGGACATAGGATCTTGTTCAGTGTGTCTGATTTGAGAACTTGAGAAATTTTTATGCAAGTTCACAAATGCTGCAGTATTTTGCTTTCTATCTTGGTAGAAGTTGCTCATAAGCATTTTTGTTATTCTCTTTGATAACTTGAACTGAATTTAATGCATCTATTTGCAGGACTGAGAAAGAGATTAATCGACGCAAGGACATGCTTGCAACTTTAAGGTCAAAAGCAAATCAGATGGCATCGACTTTGAACATGTCCAATTTTGCGAATAGAGACAGCTTACTTGGACCAGAAATAAAGCCTGTTGATGCCATGAGCAGAACAAATGGCCTTGACAATTCTGGCGTTGTCGCTCTTCAACGACAAATAATGAAAGGTGAGTTTTTGCAAGCTTTTTTCAGGATAAAAAGAGAAGTTTGGTATAAATTTTGATATGTGTTTAAGTTGCCTGGTGTTTCTTTTTATACAGAACAAGATGAAGGCCTCGAGAAATTGGAGGAGACAGTAATAAGCACCAAACATATTGCATTGGCTGTCAATGAAGAACTTGGCTTGCAAACAAGACTCATTGTATGTGTGTTCCTTATTGTTAATTCATCAACATAGATATGTGTTTTAGTATATATACTCATATCACTTTAAGCTATCTTTCCTCTGAAAACTCATTCTTTAAGAACTGTTTGCGAATTTCATGTTTTTGTGATCCTATTCATTGCAGGATGACCTGGACGAACATGTTGATGTTACAGACTCCCGTCTACAGGTGACAATCGTGCTGCATAATTACCTTCGAAACCCTTTTTTAGTTAATAGCATTGACTAGATTTTGGTTCAGCTCTTCATAATAAGAAGGAATTAATGTCATTGGGGAATTTCGAAAATTTTAACCAAAAAAGCAAACATGTGAAAATAAAAATGGAAAGACTTTCCACTCATTCCTGAAATTGAGAAAAATACTATATTGAAAAGGTTACGAATCTTGGCATCAGTCTTCTTATACATTCCCTACATGTTTTGCTCAATATTTTTTCTGGTTCTATTGGCCCTGTTTCTATTACTTAATTTCTGCTGTATATTGAATCCAACAATACACCATCGAATCATTTTTCATAATCTATTCATTGGACAATTGGAGTTAGGTTAACTTTATTTATTTATTTTTATTTCTGATGCTTAGTATGGTAATCTTATTTTATCCCCGTATGGTATGCATGTATTTTTGCACTATTTTTGATGCCTTGGTTCTCCTGAACAATGAACAGCGAGTACAAAAGAGGCTTGCAATTTTAAACAAGCGCACAAAGGGTGGGTGCTCCTGCATGTGCATGCTTATGTCAGTCATTGGGATTGTGGTTCTGATCGCAGTGATATATATGCTGTTCAAATTCTTGTAATGCCGAAGCTTGTATTTTACAGTTTGACACGCATCTTTGCCTGTGTATGGAATAACTTAATATTGGCCAGGGCGGCCGTGATTGTATCTTGTTTAGTTGTTCCTTATGGAATGTGTCTGTCTTGCTATTTGTTTCTTTGGTGGACTGGACAAAGTTTCTGAGTAAAATGCAAAATCTCAGTGTGTTATTTTGAAGGAAAATCTCAGTGTGTTATATAGCGTGTTTTTGTAACAGTTTCTTTTCCCTTTTCCTTTGTTTTTCTGTCCAGCGAAAACGGCAGTGTTTTGAACGTTTTGAAATATGGTCGAACATTTTTTTTTTTTTTTTAAAGAAAAACTCCATTGAACTTCATTAATCAAGTGTTCAATACAGGGAGGAACATAAGACAACCAACAAGAAGGATCAGACTGAAAACGAGCATCTCTAGCTAAAGTATGAGCAAGCGTGTTCGTTGATCTAGAAAGAAACTAGAAAGACATTGCTTCAACTAGAGGCTAAACGAAGGCTCAACCTAAAGCGTGTTGCAACATTGTATTACCCGCTCAATAGCCTCAAGTGCACGCAAGTTATCATCCCCTGAGTGAAAGCATGCTCAGCAGATTGGTGAGGAGGTGCCACTGGACTGGCGTGCTTGTGCATTGGACCAAGTAGCTAGTGAGTTGTACCCAACACCTGGTTGAACTCGTTAAAGTGAGTTGTCTTGTCACAGTGCTGCTCTAGAAAATGCACAATGTCTTCTAAAGTCGTTGCTAAAGTAACAATCTACCCGTCAGAGCGAGCTGTCTGGTCATGGTGATACTCTAAAAAATGCATAATGTCCTCTAAAGTCGTTGCTAAAGTAACAATCTTTAACATCCCAACAAACATATGTGGGATAATGCAATGAATTGTAAACAACAATGCACATGGAATATCATAAACAAAAAGAAGTACGGGAATGTGACTGCACGAGCCACAATCCTACGACGCATAGACCGTAATGTAAGACACTTAGTCATTACCTTCTTAGTGACCTCATCTGTTAGGACGCCTCCTCCCTGTGCACACCACAATCATGACCCGAATGAACCTCAACCATACCCTACCAAACCCGCCTGCCCTAATCTCTAAGAACTCGCGCTCCCTCAATAGTTTAGATGTCCACCCACGCACAGAAGGGACCGTACGTTGGATCACCCTAGCTAAGTGTGCATCCCTGTCCACATAAAACACTTACACATACTCAACCCCCACCCCCCATCCCCCCCAAAATCCCAATTAGTGCAATGGACAACATACTATAGAGGGCAGAAAAACATACAAAAATTCTTACCGTCATAAATACAATGGGGCCAGTAAACGGTTGGTATTTGTTCGGTATCCACTTGGCATGCACGTTAACCAAACAATCCAACAAAAACTTGCACCAATTGAGGTACTTGATTTTCTCTACATCCTCAAAATGTTGGAACACCCGTTGGTTAGCATATCCATTCCCCATGACTGAGATAAGGGTGCTAACCACTATAACAGTGAAGTGGCACTTGAGCCACGCATCGCCCACTAATCGCGAAACCATAGCCTCACCAAACACGGTCAATCTGACATCATGCTTTGTCTCATGAATAACCGTCTCCATTCACACAAAGTGTCACTAACAACATCCTTGAGGCGCTTGGTGATGACAATGTCCCCCCGTGGCAAACCAAGTGTGACCTTTACATCCTCCTCCTCACAGGGGGGTAACAACTCCGTTCTCAACCCTCAAAGTCATGTTCTTTGGGTCAAAATTCTCTAGAATCCAACAAGCCATGTGCAATGGAACATCATGCACACGAAGATGAAGGATTTGGTCAATACCAATCTCACCAACTGCATCCCTCTGACGTGCATTGAACCGCTGCATCGACTCGACCAACAGCTTACACGACGCTCGAGTCTTCATATTAGGTAACAAGTGTTCTCCTCCTCGGTCAAATAATAACCTGGTGCTTGCCACTCCGGTTCCGCCTGCGCCAATAGAGGCTAGACAAAATCACCACTATTCGAAGAAGTACGAGGTGGCGAGGTGCCTATGTCTTATTTCCTGCGCATACATCATAAACCATCAATGTAGAGCGTTCATAACTTAGAGATGCACCCACTGGTAAGACCACACAACCAATATGCACCAACCCATGCCCTATACACACACCATTGGTACGGTCATGTTCACATACAACATCAACCAATAAGCCATTTCAGCCAATGAGGACTACATAATGCACATACATGTAACGAAAAAGACATACAAACTCAGGAATTGTATGAAAGTTTAATTTAACCGGATCAAATACCAATAAACAAAATCAAATTGCAAACAGTTCAATTCATACATTCCACTAACAAACATTTTTAAAAAACATCAAATCCTTCCGCAACACACACCCTGTATGAAATGCACAACCCAACACTCCCTATAACAAACACCTCCCACGCACACATAAAATACATTCACATACTCTATTGAATCGGAATGTGGAGGCCTTGAAGTTGGAGATTCAACTTTTAATGAACAATAAAATAAATTGTTACAGTTTTACTGTATTTCTATATTTCCATTATTACTGATTTACTGGCTTTGGGGGAGTCAGACGCGGTCAATGCCTACTTCATCGTCTGCGTGTCTACAATATAAATCAGAACAGGCGCTGGGGTTCACTCCGAAGCTCCAATTCATTCTCCGCTAGTTTCAACCGGAAAAAAGAAAGAAAAATCAACCAAAAAAGTGCAAAATTTCCGTGTAAAGATGAGCATAGTGCCGAAAGAGACAATAGAAGTGATAGCGCAGAGCATCGGAATCAGCAATTTGTCCCCGGAAGTGTCGCCGGAACTTGCAGCCGATGTCGAATACCGTCTCCGAGAAATAATGCAGGTATTTCCCCCCTCTGTAGTTCTGTTCATTAATTTTAGGCTCCTACCGGTTTTTTGCTCAATTAGGGCAATTTTACCTAGAAGCAAAGCAAAAACAGCTTATTTGTTCTGAATATTTGTTTTTCTTTTTATTTCTTCGCTTAAAATTTAGGAATCCATAAAATGCACGAGACATTCGAAGAGGACAATCTTAACTGCCGAGGATGTGGATGCAGCGCTCAGCATACGAAATGTTGAGGTACCTCTTTAAGCTCTCCTATTCAGTTTATCAATTTTGCAATTATTATGTTGTATGGTGTTCCACCTAACCCTAACTGAAGATGACAGTAAAAGTTGTTCAGAGAACTTAACGATAATGTTCAAAAAAACAAATTTGGAGCACATATATATTGTTCAGAAAACAATCAATACTGTTTAGGAAGTCTTAAAAAATATTCACAAAAATTAAGACTCAAGACAACTGACTAATCATGAATGTTCCCATGAAAGAGTCTTGATGTAATGATGTCCATATTAAAGTGCATTAATGTTAAGCCAATAATGTGTAGATCTTTTATAGTAATGTTCATACTGGAATACAAACCTCTGTCTAGCATGTGTAGTTATGTATAGCAGAACAATTTTGTGCACATTGTTGAAAACATTGCCAAGTGACTACTTCAGATGCAATTGAGTAAATTGACCCATGGCATGTCAAGGTGCACTTAGATATGCCATAGGTGTGCCTTGACTACTCATAAAAATTGCAATCAAATTTTGTACTGTTTCTTTTGTATTTGTAACAAAAATTCATTCTATATTCTTAATTTCTAAAAATGGAAGTTTTCTACATTTGTCAACAGATAATGAATGTGCCTGATATTATCTCAATGAAATTCTGATTAGTTTCATGTTTAATGGTTCAGCCAATATATGGATTTGCATCTGGAGATCCTATGCGGTTCAAAAGAGCTGTGGGGCATAAGGATTTGTTCTACATTGAAGAGAAGGATTTAGACTTCAAGGATGTAGGAAAATTCTGATCTATGTTCCTTTTTATTGTTTCTGATACTAGTATAAGATGATTTTTTTTTGGTGATCTGACTGTGTTGCTATATGTTTGTATTTTAGGTGATTGAAGCTCCTCTACCAAAAGCTCCATTAGATACTGCATTAGTATCTCATTGGTTATCTGTTGAAGGAGTGCAGCCTTCTATTCCTGAAAATCCTCCTCATGAAGGTTGACTTAAAATATTGCCTATAATTTGCTCCTACATTAGTCCTCTCCATATTTCTGAAATTCATTGATACTAATGGGTTCCTTCTGGCAGCACTAGCAGCACCACAAGATAATAGAATGATGGACTATAAAGAAGATGGAGGTTCAGTTGACCTCAAGTTACCTGTAAAGCATGTACTATCCCGTGAACTTCAGGTATTGTTGGCACTAGTTGCTAGAAGTGCATCCTTTTTGTTTTACCATCAAGCACCTTATTCTAAAACTTCGTTGATTGTTGTGCAGTTATACTATGAAAAAATTACGGATTTGGTAGTGAATAGATCTAACTCTGTACTCTTGAAAGAAGCACTTGTGAGTTTGGCAACAGATTCTGGGCTTCATCCTTTGGTTCCTTACTTCACATTTTTTATTGCTGATGAGGTGAGTTTAATCTCATTCCAGTTAATCTTAAGCATCATGTTAGAGTTATATACTAATAAACTTCTATAATATTGTCAGGTCTCAAGGAACTTGAATAACTTCCCTCTTTTGTATGCTTTGATGCGTCTTGTTTGGAGCCTTCTTCAGAATCCTCACATTCATATTGAACCTTATGTAAGTCAAATGCTAACGTATACCTCCCGATAGGAACGTAAATATTTCTTTTTAATTTGTGATTTTGCAGATGATTCTAACATATAACTGCTTAATTTTTTTTCCCGGGTAAATTTGATGGGGGATGGGTAAATGGGATTTAAATGGTATAGCATACCAATAAGCTACCCCTGAACCCCACATATACCTATTTGGTGATTATTGGATTATGTAGTCCAGAAATGTAATATTGAATTTAGAGAATAGATCATATCAATTGGAACTTGTTCATATAGTTTTCATGTTATTTTCTTTGTGAACTTTTAAATTTGGTCTTGAAGGAAAAAGACATCTGGGAAAACTGGAGTTGGTTTTGGGCATTTGGCAATCTGCAGCTTATTAGTAGGGCATTTGGAAATGAATTGATTGCATCTAATAATTATCTCCTTCTCCTTTGTTGCTTTTGAGTGTTTGTAGCTGCACCAATTGATGCCCTCTGTAATGACTTGCCTTGTTGCAAAAAGATTGGGCAATAAACTCTCAGACAATCACTGGGAACTTAGAGACTTCACAGCCAAGTTGATTGCTTTGGTATGCAAAAGGTGAGGGTCTCTTTTTCTGCACATCATTATTTGAGTTTGATTGAACACATGGAGAATATGGTTGTTAAGAGTCCCACATTGAAAATATAATAGAGAAGATATGGGTTTATAAGGCCATGAGTTAAACTAGCTGATTGATTGGGTTCAGTTTTTTAGTGGTTTGGCCCATGTGCATTATATCCCAATTGAGTGACCTTGGCCCAATCTTAGATTATAACAATAGTATTTATATGGTTAGGTATCCACTATAAATTATAGGATTGCTTAGTTTCATTACGTAATCACAGGGACTTTTCCTTCTGCTACTTTTGTTGTTACCTTGCTGATACATTGGGACTCAATTATAAATTTACAATAAGTATTTGTTGTATTATTTAGTCCTTATTAGTTGAAATGCAATCTGACTTTCATTCATAATAATCAATCTTAATTTGAAATATTTTATTTAATTTATATTTTGAATCTTGGACAAAAATAGGCAAAACTAGTTTGGAAATTGCATTTGAGGCAAAGTATGTCAGAAATGTATTACCCAATTACCCAAATGCGATTGACATAATTTCAAAACCAATATCCTGGAAAAATGATTTATGTCAAACACATTTGGGAATGTGTTTGACATAAAATTTAATTCCCAAGAATTTGCCGTATCTATGTATTTAGGTTTTAGTTTTTATATATTTTAATATTTTTAGGCTCAAATGCATTTGGGAATGTGCTTAACCCTAAAAAATCAAATGCTTGTTTCCTATCACTTAATATGAGGCAAAACTAGTAAGCAATTATACAGAACCATGCCCTTGAATTACTGTATAGTTCCATTGTAATTTGTAATCCATGTTACATAACATGCTAGTCCTTTGTTTGTATTGAAATTCTTGTACATATATTGCTTTGTAGAAAATGATAATATGCCTTTTGGAATTAGAAGAATGGATAGAATAAACATGGAGAAGGACCACAAGAATGGCTAATATAAAGCATCCCATTGGCAACCCAGAACAATAAATTCTTTCCAATTCCGTGAGAGCATAGGACCACCCACAGAAAATGGCTGTTATTCAGTGCATTTGGGAATGCATTACAAACTCCTTGAAAGAATGACAAGAGAGGAGAATCAAATTTTTTAGGAAAGAAGCATTTGATTTTTTTTTTTTTTTTTTTTTAATAGGGGTCAAACACATTTGGGAATTGTGTTTGAGCCAAGGAAAAAAAAACCCTATTTACAGAGATACACCGTATTTCTGGGAATACAGTTTTATGCCCTAGTGCTTTTGACATAAAATCATTTTCCTTTGTGAAATTGGTTTTGAAATTATGTCAAACACAAATGGGTTTCTGACAAACTTTTGACTCATGCATTTCCCAAACTAGTTTCGCCTATTTTTCTGTCCCACTCCAATTCTGCCCATTTCAATCAGTGTCCCCAAAAAGTATAGCCCATTGGCTATCAAGAATTAAAAGAAACCGTGGTTTTATTGGATGCGAACATTGGGTTTGGACAGTTTCATGGTTTATACACACACACACACATCCCTAGTTTGCTGACATGCATGCACAATTGATTTGATCGTATTTCTAAATTTTGTTCACTGCTTGAGGAATCCGGCAGTAATGGTTAAATTTTCACTCCATGTTTGCTGCTATCTATTTACCGACTGTTTTAGCTTTTGTAGATATGGTTGTGTTGGATAGCTTTGCAGGTATAATCATGTTTGGTGCTATCTTTTTCCTGACTGTTTTAGCTTTGTAGGTTTGGTCATGTGTATCATAATCTCCAGTCGCGTGTCACAAGGACTTTGGTGCATGCATTTCTGGATCCAACAAAGGCTCTGCCTCAGCATTATGGTGCGGTACAAGGGCTAGCTGCCCTTGGCCCTAGTGTGGTAACTACTTGTACTTTCTATTTCTTCTTCCCTCTTTATTCAACCCTTAAATTGCAATATGTTTGCAAATGGTAATATTTATTTGCATTGACTAGGTTCGGCTGCTTTTGCTGCCAAACCTTGAGCCTTATATGCAACTGTTGGAGCCAGAAATGCAACTAGAAAAACAAAAGAATGAGATGAAGAGGCATGAAGCATGGCGAGTGTATGGTGCCCTGGCGGTATGTTTCAATGTTTAAAAAGTTTTAAGCCTTCTGGTTTTGCCTATGAAGCAAGGTTTCCTACAATTTGAATCTTGCTTCCCATGATACACTGAATTTATACAAATTTGGCATGTCCACTACAGTGTGCAACTGGTTTATGTATTTATGATCGGCTTAAGACTCTGCGCACTTTACTGCCCTCACCAGCGTGTGCTGTTCTGAAGAGTAGGATGAAAGTCGCTTCAATATCAAGTATGTATAGGTTTCTTGCATTGTGTTCTTTTACCATAAAATGTAGTCTTGGAATGCTTTTAAATGCACTTTTTCTTCATCCATGAATCTTAAGACACTCTTAACCCATCCACCCTTTCTTTCTTAATTGTGTCAAGATAAAAGTAAAATGAGCATGGACAACACAGTGCAGCAGCCCCCACTCAAGAAGTTGGTGACCGACGGGCCATCTGGTGCAGTGCCTGCAAAGTCGTTGCCTGGAGGAACACAAGGCACTACTGGGGGATATGCTGCTGCCAGTTTCCCATCTACTTTGCCGAGTGAGAATTTGCGAATGGGTAGTAGACGGGATATGGTTGGTGGTCAAGCCTCAAAAGCGGCAGCTGCCCTTGATCGGGCGTCGAAAGGGGATGTGGATGTTGCACATTTGATACCTATGATGTATGAACATTTTGGTGAAAGTGTGATATCCTTCACCCTTGCACCTGAGTTGTCAATCTTCCTATGATCCCTAGAGTCCTAGAGACTAATTTAACAGGAATGCCCACATTTGGTGGGGCATCTAGTTGCTAGCAGTCCTTGTACATAATGCAGTGTAATTTACAAATCAACCCTCCGTTAGACAATCCCTAGTTTGAATTATTCTTTTTAATGTATCATTGTATTATTTTAATAGAAAAAAATTTGACAGCAATTTGTGTTGTTTTTCATTATAAATTTATAATCATATGACAGCATTTTGTAATTTGTATACTACGATATATAACATGTTAGATATTGGTGTCTTAATCTTAAATGTAATAAAATCCATTTAAATCAGCTTGGTTGGTGTGAGTGGCCATGTACTCTTGTCCCTTAAGACTGGTCGGGAGTTCAAACCTCATTTCGTATGGAAAAATTAATCTGACCTGCACTTTGTACCTTAATTGGATCGGTCCAATGTAAACGGAGATTAGTCTGAGTATGGTACAAGCTTAAAGGTGTCTCGTACAGTTAAGGTTAGGGTCTGTTCAGGACATCTCGTGGTCTAAAAAAAAAAAAAAGGTAATAAAACCCATCTGCTGCTGCACAAGGCTATACTGAATAAAAAAAATGTACATCTGGTAATATAAATCATTAGCATCTTACAACCACATGCAAATAACAAACATCAACCCTGAAGATTAATGAAGCAAAAACAATGGACCAATTAAAGACATGAGAAGAAACCAAAAAACCAAAAATGGCTAGAAGAATAGCTTCCGGAAAGATGGCTGTGAATTTGTTGAATTCGAGGTAGATGGCCTTGGGGTTACCAGTGATCCCGCGTTTTCTTGGCTCCCTGCCCCTTTATCCCCTGCCTTTGCTCCCCTAGGGTCAGTAAGAAGAGTTCTCTGAAACGACTGCGTGAAACCGGTGGCAATTATTGTCACGTGGATCTCTCCGTTGTATCGTTCATCCACCACAGCACCAAATATAATGTTAGCAGATGGATCAGCCAAACTTGTAACAACCTAGTAAAGAACAAAAAGTTCGGTTTACACAGGGTAAGGAGGAGATCATGGAAATAGATATCACTATACCAACTTAAGAATGACAAGGAATAAGGACAGCGGAGAAGCAATACATATCATGAGAGATATAGACCAACAATGTTATTATTTATTAATCTCCGAAATTCAACCAAGCAAATATCTAAACATGCATTTAGAATGACAGGCCGAATATACTTGGTTTGTCCAAAAAAATAATTTTAGAAAACCCAAAAATATTCACGGCTCTAATAGGTTTATATGGTTTTATCTGAGAATCAGCTCAGTGGGGAAATTTCCATGGAGTTAAATATGTTTCCTGATTTGGAATATCTGAATTTCTCTGCAACCACTTTAATTGGTGAAATTCCAAGTGACCTTTCATCACTATGTAGCTAGAAAACACTTGGCATTCCCATAAACCATATTAGCAGCCATGTCCCCTTGTTAAGCACAAAAAGTTTAAAACCTTTGATGTGCCAGATGCCCGGCCATGGCGTCATCTCCCGACAAAGATGCCATCCGTCCAAAGAAAGAAAAAGTAAAAACAATTATGCGTCTTCTTCCAGAGGCTTCTTCTCGTCTTTGATGATGAAGAAGCTCAAAAATTTTCAGTGTGTAGCAGCTTTCATCGCCGGGAATTTTTTTTAGGAAAGGAAAGAATTAGGAAAATAAAATTTTTAATAATAATATGTCAAATAATCATCAATTTTTTTTTTTAAATGATGATGTGGATGCCATGTTAGCATTACTTGATATTTAGGGGGTGTTTGGTTCAGGTCATTTCAGATTAGCCAGGTAATCTGAGTCTGGTAATGTTATATTACCTTGTTTGATTCAAGTTATGAGATTACCTGGTAATGTTATATTACCTGAAAGCTGATGTGGCGGTAATGTGATTACCCCCGTTTTCTTAGGTAATCTTAGATTACCTTGAATTATTCCAACTTTGCCCTTGTTAACTAATCCTTATATAATAATAATAATAATAATAATAATAATAATAATAATAATAATAACTAATATATGTTTATATAATCAAATATACATGTGTATATTTATATATTTAGTTTTTTTTTTTTTTTTAAATATTTAAGCATTGATATACATTCATAGATATAAAAATAAATAAATACACACGCATATAATATATATATATATATATATATATATATATATTATTGAGGACATTATTGTAAATTGATCTATATAACCTAAAATATAACCCTTAACCAAACAAGGCAATATTATATTACACAATCTAAACCAAACACATAAGGTAATCTTATATTCCCAAAATCTCACATTACCTTCCTGAAGGTATATTACCTAGGGTAATCCAAGATTCCGTGAACCAAACGCTCCCTTACAGGTAAAAATAGGTCAAAAGGATCTAATTACACTTTTGTGTGAGTTCGGGTGAGTAATTGGAGCATTTTATAATTTCATGGGTTAATTGTTGTTTCAATAAATAGTTTAAGGGCTTATTTGATCTTATATCTCCCCCCTCCAAAAAAAAAAAAGCAAGGCCCATTATTGGCTGTTCATCCATTTTAATTATGGAGTTTATTGTGGAAGTCTCCAATAACTTTTGGGTAAAGGTTAAGTCACGCCTTCAACTTCAAAACGAAAACAAATAAAAGAAATCCACCGCACCTGAGAGACCCTGTTGACTTCTTGCAGAGTTATATCTTTCCCTCCTGTAATGTTATAAACTACTCCAGTGGCAGACTGGATAGAAGATCCAATTAAAGGGGCCAAAGTTGCTTGTTCTGCTGCTTCTTCAGCACGGTTCTTGCTAGATGACACTCCGACTCCAAGCATTGCAGTTCCCGAGTCTTTCATCACTGCTTTTACGTCAGCAAAATCCACGTTTACAAGCCCAGGTATCTGCAACAAGGGACTGGATAAATGGGGATGCTTTTTTCTTATCAAATTACGTTTATAGATTAGTATAAGCTGAAAAACCGGGCATTATGTCACAGATTCTAGGAGACGAGAATTGAAAGATACTAGGAACTGGCATAATATTTGCATTAAAGCTCCCACCGTGATAATATCAGAAATTCCTTGGACGCCTTGACGAAGCACATCATCAGCAAGAAGGAAAGCGTCCTGAAGAGGTGTCTGCTCGTCAGCAATGTCGAGCAGACGATCATTTGGAATCACTATAAGAGTGTCGACATTTTTCTGAAGTTTTTCAATTGCTTCCAAAGCCTGGGAAAATATGAACCAACATGAGAATGTGCACTAGTGAACTTGAACCTCATCGTCTTCTCTTCAAAATCATTGTGTTTGTGGGCATTCAATTTTTACTTATTATTTTTGGACAAGTATTAGAATGAGATGTTCTGGAGGGTAAAGTAGAAGTTTAAGACATTTATGCAACAGAAGTATTTAGCAACTAAACACGGGCTACTGATATGAATTTATATTTTTTTAGGGAAAATGGTCAAATAAGCCCCTAAACTTTACCTGAAAAGTCAATTAGCCCCCTAAACTTTTAAAAAATGCAATTACACCCTTTAACATGGTATATTGAGGCAATGAAGTCCAAAAACCGATAAATAACCTGCTATTGTAGGTCATTAGGGTTCCGACGACAATCAGGCGGCCGGCGACGGCCGAACCGTCAGTGGTCGCCGTCTACCAAAGAAGACAACCAACTGGTCGCGTTCTCTGGTAAACGGCAACCAGTGATGGTTCGGCCGTCGCCGGCCACCGGAGATAGATAAAATTGATGTCGGAACCCTAATGACCTGTAATAATAGGTCATTTACCAGATTTCGGACTTCATTGCCTCAATATAACATGTTAAAGGGTGTAATTGCACTTTTTAAAAGTTTAGGGATATATTTGACCCTTTTCCCTATTTTTTATTATCAGAAAAACACTTGCCTGTAGGGATCTTTTGCGTCCTTCAAAGCTGAATGGGTAAGTAACTACACCAACAGTTAGATAACCGGCCTCCTTTGAAATTTGGGCAACAACAGGTGCAGCCCCGGAGCCTGTACCTCCACCCATTCCAGCTGTTATAAACACCATATCTGAACCCTTAAGAGCATTAGCAATGGCTTCCTTTGATTCCTCTGCTGCCTGTTCTCCCAGAAGAGGATTGCCACCAGTACCTGCATTCCTACCATGAGTTCAAGTTCTTCAAGTAAAAGTTCATTACATTATACTAAACAAAGGTTTTTAAGGCTAAGCTACACCCAAAAAATTTTACATTAACTGCATTACACGGCACATCTGATCACCAAATAGATGAATGCATCCAAGTATAAAAGGGGGTGGCATTAGGCCAATTGTGTCTAATCTTATCATCTATATGTTTTATGGAATGAGAGAATGTCCCATTAGAGAAGTTCGAGAGCACCTAATCCACGAGTCAGAAGCTCTCCAATTTGAATCGGGGTCTGAGCAGCTGACTGCAGTAGTGATTGGGCATCTGTGTTAATGGCATAAAAATCAACTCCCTGTAATTAAACATGAAAATTCATCACTCATTAACCAACTTTCAGCAGAAAACTCCAATAACAAACACCAACAAAAATAAAAAATAATGCAATATGACAGTTCTTTCTTTGGTTTACTCAAGTAAAAGAAATCTAAATACTACAAATGAGGACTGTAGCAAAGCTATTTACTAAAAGACAAGTGGATATGGTACAAAGGAAATAACTGGAGAAAGCAATTACAATTACAAGAGCCCAAATAGCCAAAAATGAAACATTTTTAAACATTCAGTGACCATCAAGCCAAGACTCAATATTTTCCCCAAATGTCTGATCTTTCTCATCAAAGATAATAACTTTTACCAAATTTGGCATTAAACTTTGAGAATTATAGACCAGCCGAAAATCCAACATTACCAAACAATAATAGCAACAAATTCTGAAAACAAAAGCCAACAAAAAAAAAAAAAACACAAACCTGTAAACCGCTGCCAATCATGCGGTTAACGGCATTATTGCCGCCGCCGCCAACTCCGACGACCTTAATCTTGGCGGAGTCCATGGGGATGAAAGAGCAGCGAACGGAGAAACGGCGCTGGTGGAAAAGGCTCTTTCTTCGAGACGCATAGCCAGATGAAATGCATTGCCTGGGGATGAAGGAAGACGGAGCCCTCTTCTGATGAAACCCTAGGGAAGCTGAAGAAGACGGCGACGCCGCTGATACCTCT